TCAAACTTCAACATTAGACGATAGAGAAACAAATCAGAAAAATGCGAATAGATATCAATCAGCATCTTGATAACTTAGAGAAGCAAATAATGCAAATACTGTCCATCAAAGAAAATCGCCATCAAAAAGATATCGAGAAATTATTATAGCATGTTGAAGAAATCATCCACTCGAATAGACAGCCTTATGGAAAATATAGATCCAATAAAGCAGTATGCTTCAAATTTGCAGACCTTCTTGAGCACGAAAGAAATAGACAGGGAACTGTATAAAACTGAGAAGAAAGTTTAAGTTTTATGCAAAGATGACAGTTTGAATAGATACGTTATCTCATTTATTAAGTACGACAAGCTTGGAAATTTCATGGAAAACTTACAGTCTTTTGGAGAAGTTTCAAATACGTATGAAAAGACGAAAATTCTTCATGAGAAATCAAAAGTAGATCAAGCACAGATAGTTGCAGTACCAAGCAAACATGTTGAAAACAAGAATCTTGTACTTGAAAAGAAGATAGTGGTTCCTAGACCAGGTAAAAGTAGTTTTGGTTCAGTTACGGGATGTGAAGTATTACAAAACAAACATTTTCTATTTTCATATTTTGATAGCTTGAATAGTAACAATTGTTGTTTAAGTTTGCTAGGCGAACATGACATCGAAATATTTGTTTTTAAACATGACAAAATTGGTGGAATTTACCCTTATGGTATTGCTGTTATCAATGATACGACAGTAGCTATAGCACCAGTGAATCGTTCAAAATCAATTGTAATCTTCAACATTGAAACCAAAAAGGTATTCCAAGTGATAGAAACTAAACACCCATGCAGTGGTGGGATATCATGTTTCGAAAATACTCTGATATACAGTTGCGGGAAAGAAGGTTTGGAAATGAGATCGCTGGATACAGGAAAAGTCCATACTTTGAAATTTGCTAGTAATGATCCATGGGAGCACACTTTATTCAAGAACAAAATTTATATTACAGATAATAGCAGTGATACAGTATTATGTTATGACATGGATGGAAAAGTCCATTGGAGATGGCAAAATGTTGACGAAATTAAGTATATTGGCGGAGTAGCCGTCGATAACAACTCAAATTTTATATTGCGGGTGTAAAGTCAGGTCGCATTCTGATTATTTCACCCGACGGCAAAACTTTCAAGTCTTTTATACCGGAAGGTATCAAATGGCCAAGAGCAATTTATTACGACAAAATTACGAATAAACTTTTGATTTGCGAAAATAATGGAGATGCGGGGATATATTATGTCTCCTAAAATTACATTCGTGTTATCGCTTATTTTGTCAGAAAATTTTCATGTAATTATATAATAAATCAATTTTAATAAAGAGGTGTGTACTGCTTTGTACATCCAATTTTATTTTTTTAGATATAAAATAGATACAACAAATATACCAACACAACTGTGTTCAATGCAAACCAAAATGTCGAAAAATGCATGCAATTCCAAGACGATTTAAAAAAAACAAAAAGAAAAGAAAGAGCCCAACTCATCACATATATATACGATAGTGTTAACTGCACAAAACACTGAGAACTGAAATATGGACAATGCGAACTACGCTTAAAAAATGTATTTTCTAAAGCATTTGGCTGCATGTATTCCAAAAACATCCTAACTTTAATACAAGAATAAGGAGATGTGGGCGCTATGATTGCCAACGAGAAGGAGATGTGGGCGCTATGATTGCCAACGAGACAGCTATCCACAATAGTCTTAATTACGTGGATGTAAATATATATAGGTCAACGTACGGCCTTCAACAATGAGTAAACCCATATAAAAGGCCACGAAATGAAAAAAAAATGAGGAACAATTCAAATGAGAAAACACACGGCCTGATTTATGACAAAACAATCAACGAAAAACAAATGACTGACAAAAACCGACGACAAACACTTAATTACAGGCTCCTAAATTTGGGCACTTAAAAAATGTAGCGGGTTAAACATGTTTGTGAGACCTCAACCCAATCCCATCTAACCTCGGACAGTGGCATAATAGTACAACATAAGAACGAACTGTAAAAATCGGTTGGAAATAGCTTTTATCATCAGATCGGCATGATGCACAAAAACATTAAACACAACTAACATAAAGGCAAGACACAATGTACCGAAGTAAGAGTTCACACAGTTACTAAAAGTCTATTCGATACCACTTTACAAAAAAGCAATTATTACACAACTAACGGATTTAGTGTAAAGACGTCATAAATAGTATGAGAAAAGCATGACCTAAAATTATTTAAATATTCACTTAACTAAATAAAGTATGAATGCTACCGGAACCTTTCTCTATTTGTAGTTTAAAACGCATTCATAGTCTAATAAGTAGCCTAGATTGTTAGTCCGTGTCAACTTTCATCTTCGATTTTAATTTCAATAGTTTTGCCCATAATATCATTTCTCACAGTTACGTAGTTTATATGTCTAGCGTGAGCTATTCAGTTAAGTCATTTGCTCTCTTTCGGCTATCAATTTTGATGTACCCGCCACCAAGTGGCCTTGGCATATAATGTATAACCCATGTCTGTCATTCCGTCCTTCTCAATCAGTTGTCCTTAATTTTGCCTGCAGATCAATAGATAATGTATTTTAGTCTTAAACGGTCATTTTTATTTTAACAACATTTGAAAAGTCTGAACAACAAATTATTAAGAAATGTTCAGTCTTTTAGTCAATTTTCATTCCTGTTGACTTCGGCAAATTCACTACTGTTCACTACAATTTACTTGTAGTCAATTCCGTACTCTTTGGTTGCAGCGAATTCAGTACTGTTCCGGGACTATTTTCTTGCAGTCACTTCAGGACTTCAGTAGCGTTCAGACAATTCAGTATGTAAATGGTGTGTACAAATATATAACAACTGTTGGTCAGATCTAAATTGTCTGCAAGTAAATTGCCTTAACTGTACTGAATTTACCGCAGTGGATAAGTCTAAATAAACTCATAGATACCAGGATTAAAATTTTGTACGCCAGACGAGCGTTTCGTCTTCAAAAGACTCGTCAGTGACGCTCGAATCAAAAGAGTTAAAAAGGCCAAATAAAGTACGAAGTTGAATAGCATTGAGGACCAAAATTCCGGAGGGTTTTACCGAAAACAGTAAAAGTAATCTACTCCTGGGGTAGAAAAACCTTAGTATTTAGAAAATTCAAATTTTTTTTAACAGTTATATTTATGACCATATCAATGATATTTCATGTCAACACAAAGTTGACTAAAATACTGAAAATGATTTAAGGGATTAATTGTTCAGTCTTTTAAGAACTGTTTAGTTAAAAATTGCCGTTTCAAATAAGAATTGTAAATTTGTAAAAATGCGGTAAAGAGGACAGGATATTGGCTGCTGAAACTTGTCCTTTGTTTTCTATGACACAAATATTCCATAACTGTTAAATAATTTATGATGACTTGCTTAAAACTTTTAATCAATGAGCCTTTTTTTATTTTCTAACTTATAAGCAGCAATCGTCTTTCAATGAGATCATAATAGAAAATGCAAGTCCTGAAATATATTGTTTCAATAGGAACATTTTACCATATGGAGGTGCTGCTGAAATACAACTACATAGAAATGAAAGTAATATATTGTTCACCATGTGCATTACATTGCCGTGCGTACGCGTGACAGCAATATCTTTCTAAAACAAATCTCCATTCCATCATTCATACAAATTACAAAATTTATTAAACATTTATTTATATATTCCATAATAAATCCACTCCATTGCTCTAATTGGTGGTAAAAGTGTACAAAAAATGTGTCCGCCAGCATCGTTGTTTTCCGTTATATACGCATATGACGTCACATGAAGTACACGATTATGTCTAGTGACTAAAATATTCTTTTCATTCCAACTAGATTCCGATGGTATAATAATATCTTCATGGAAAAGAATTCCTGGATTTCTTTTGTCGAATCTTTTTCTAATTTTCTCTGCTGATCTGTTATATGCTATCACGTAGGATGCCTGTAAAAAAAAATACATGAAGCATGAATGTCATGAATGGAGGACAATAAACTACAAAAGACGTTAACTAAAACTCTTCCTCTTTTTTAGGTTTACTTTGAATGTAATTTAATCAAATCGTCTTCAAAACTATTGTGTCCTACCTTTTACAAGTAAACAATCTACAGGCAAACTTTCGCGGTAGGGAAACCAAAGTGATAAAACAAAACGGACGAAGATGACCACAGACAACTACATGTAACATAAAAACAACGCCTTATTCGAGTTTGTACTATCATGGAAAATTGCATGATTGTATACAAATTTTTAATTTGCGTGTTTCAATGTATGAAAGTGATTTTCTTTTTAAAAGTCACCTGACTTTAACATTGTCTTTAGAATGCAGCTTTTTTCTTTAGCTATGGAATATATTTGTTTAAATCGAGATTTTTGCTCCTTTTAAATCTAATTTTTTTTTACCTAATTTTGGAAATTGTATGCTTGAATTCAGAATTGCATATACGTGGTGTAGGTGCTTTGCATGAAGCTATGCCACACTGTTTTAGAGTGATTATTGTCATTTCCGTGTATATCTATTGTTAATATTTGTTGTTAGTGATTAACAGACTTCCATTGGTAGTGTAGTTCACTTGTATTTGTTTGGCGGTTTTGTGAACACTTTGTGATATCATTTCAAGGTTAAGATTGATATGTTTGGGTTTTTTTCTCGCGGTTTTTTCCACCAGCTAATTTCAGTAATGGATAAAGGAACTGCACATTTTGAAAACAAGATATCGATAATGAAAATGTAAAAGAAACACGGAATTGCACTTAAAAGTTTTTTTCATAATTATTCCTGGTAGGGTGCATAGAGTGTTTGGCGGGGATGGGGGAATTGGAGGAATAGCGTTTTTGGTAACTTTTATTACATGCACATATCTGTGTGCAATTTATAAAAAAAGATGCAAGTTCTTTCTTGTTGGTACGTTGGAACAAAGATATCTTAACATTATACTTACGTAATTCAAGTCCTTGCATGTACGTTCTGGAGAATTGTCGTTTTGCGTTATTCCTAGCTTTTTCAAAATTGCATCTCTTCGGAACATCCTTGCATGTATCTGTAAAGGTATCTCATCAGAATCTATCTTTTCGACTGGCGTGTCCAGTTGTGAAAATAAGTATATGGTAACTTTTGAAACAGATTCGTTAAAGAGAGCCGGATTGAATGCTGACTGATATGTGAAATAACTCTCTATCTGAAATAAATTTGTAAAAATACTAATAATTATATAGGTTAAAAAAAACACATTTTAACAGGATTATTGCATCCCTAGTAGAGTATTGTATATTCTACGAGAGGTTATTATATCTACCGTTATCCGTGCAATAACATAGATTTTATTGTATTGCAACACAATGGCAAGAACATATACCAAACGAAAATGTCGTCGGTTTGAAGCGATATTGCATTGCATGTTATACCGGCGAATATTGCACGCCAAGTTTTGGTAACATTCCATACGGGGAATCTGGGACTTTTATACTAACTGTCAATATATTATGTCCCACTCCCAGAGGGAATATTTTTATTTGCTATGCAAACTTAAATTTTCATCCTTGACTAGACTGTGAATATGAAAGGAATGCATCTGCTGGTAAAAACAGTAGAATGTCCTTGTTAACTAACTTCAGTAATAGTTGAAAAATCTGAATATCATATGAAAAATACATAAATTACTTACATTAATTCGAGTTGAATCTGGACCAACAAGATCTGATAACCACATCTGCGACTGTTTAACCCAGTGCGACTTGTATTCTTTTGGGTCTATGGTTATCTGATGGGCTTTCAGTAACGGCTGAAATATGCCATTTGGAATTATTTTAGAATGCTGTTCTCTCTAATTCTGCAGTGTGCATTAAAATTATTATCCGTTTGATAAATTTTTACATAAACAACACGTTGAAAAAATTTTGCCTCGTGTAAATTTCCGCCAATTCCACTCGGAACAATGTACTCGGCTTTTTTCCATTGAATTAGTAGAGAGAGAGATCCACTCAACCCCGTTGGAAGTATTTATCCAAGCTCGATTGTTTAGATTTTAAAGTTTGAATACTCTGTATGTTTTTTTATGCGAATTTTTTTTTTCTTTTTTACCTCCCTTTAATTTTTAATGTTGTTGTTTTTTTGTTTTTTTTTTATTAAATGGTCATATTGATTTGCGTGACAGATTAAAAGGGACTTACACTGTTACACATCTTTTTATTTTGTTAAACACAGCCTTGTGATTTGATTTGATTTTTGGTGTTTTAACGCCACTATTAAGCACCGCTTTTGGGCTATTTCGTGGCGGCCAGTTTTTATTGGTGTAGGAAGCCGGAGTGCTCGAAGAAAACCACCGACCTTCGATAGGAAAACTAACAATCCTAGTCAATTAAGATTGGAGTCGAGTGCACCCGCACGAGCAAGGTTCGAACTCACAACCTCAGTGTTGACTGGCTAGTGGTTACAGTAGTAACTACTTAGACCACTCGGCCACCGAGGCCCCCTCACAGCCTTGTGTATGCAGAAATTAAACGTTGAGTTCGTTTTTTCGTTTTTTGCCATGACATTGTCAGTTTGTTTTCAACTTATGAGTTTGAATGTTCCTTTGGTATCTTTCGCCTCTCTTTTTTAACATACTTTTCATTGATAGCCTTTTTAATTTTGAGGATATTTTCAGTGAATTGTCATCGTCCATCCTCGAGCTCATCTTAATTCATCTGACAAAACAATTGAACTGAATTCGAATCACTGTGTTCAATACAATATCTCAAATTTCTAACTGTTTTGTTGAAATACTGAAAAATGTTCAATGTTTCGTATCATTTTAAGCGGTTTTTTAGAGCGAGACGAAAAAGGGATGAAATCTGAAAACTATTGATAATCATGAGTATTTAAATCATACCTCCAAAATTTTGTTAGTTTCTACAAAGTAATCATTCAAAGAATCTAGAACAACTCTACCATTGTCCCCTCTACAGTAGAAAAGAAATGTAGAAATTGGTTGCAGAATGTATTGGAGAAGATTTTCATATTCCGTGTCTAAAGTGATGTCCTGTATAAGTAGATGGATAGGAAGTTGACCATTACTGAATATTCCATGATTAACACCATCTAACACTACCATTGGATAACGGTATTTTAGACTGGGATCAGCTTTTATTTGTTGTAGAAACTTTCTGTTTGAAAAATGAATAGATGAAATGATAATTATTATATTAAAGTAAATGGTATTGAGAATTCTTCCAAACATTCAAGTACTTACCAATTACAAAAAAATGTATTCCTATTTTCCATTTTTTTTTTCTAAAAAGAATCATTTTAATTGCCTTTTTTAGCTCACATCAAATCTTGAGAAGTAAAAATGACCAACAGTTTAAGGTCTATCTCCTGCAAAATTTTCAGAATAATCGGAAAACCCATTTTGGAGTAATTGCCCCTAAAATGTTTTTTTTTCAAATTTCGCAGTTTTTGGTTATTATCTTGAAAACTATTACAAATAGAGAGAAATTTTATTTAAACAGTAAAAATGACCAGAACAAGTAAACTTGACAGAAATCATCTAACGATCAGTTAGGATTGGTTTTTAAATGATGAATTTTAACCTTTTTATGGTTTTTTTATGACAGCTATAGTTGAAATAAAGAATCTTTCGATAGTAAAAACGTTCAACAAAATCAGATCTACGAATAAGTCAACATGGACAAATGGTCAATTGACCCTTTATTGAGTGTTTGCCCTCAAAAGACTAATTTTACTCATCTTTGCGTTTTTTTGCAGAAACTATAACAGATAGAGAGAAATTGTAAAGAGCAAAAGTGTTCAGCAAAATAAAATCTACAAATAAGTGAAATTTTCAATTGACTGCTTATAGGGGTTATTGCCATTGAAAGATGTTTTTTATCAATTTTCTCTTTTTGCAGAAACCATTATACAAATGTAGATAGATGGAAATTGTAAATTACAAAAATGAACAGGGCCAAAGTTGTCAACTGCCTCTTTTTAGGAGTTATTACCTCTGAATTACCAATTTTAACCATTTGACGATTTTTGTGGAAACAAAGATAAATAGATAACAACATTGTATAGAAAAAATGTTCTGTAAAATAAGATATTATACAAATAAAACAACATTGTTGAAATTGTCAATTGACCCCTGAAAGGAGTAATTGTCCATGAAAGATGTTGGTTTTTTCTTCATTTTTGCAGTTTTAGCACAAACTATAATAGATAGAGAGAAAAAGAAAAAAGGCAAAAATGTTCAGCACAATACAATCTACAAAATCAGTCACCATGGCCGAAATTGGCAACCAGCTCGATATGGAAGTTGTTTCCCCTGAATGATGAAATTTTTATCCATTTTTAAATTTTTTTGTAACTATAGGAGTTAGAGAGAAAATTTGAAAAGTAAAAAAGATTAGCAAGATACCAATCTACAGGTAAGTCAACATGGTCAAATTATCACAATAGTTAAACAGGATTTATTGCCATTAAATGACGTTTTTATTTCAAAAACTTTAATCATTATAAACTGTAAACATTAAAGAGTAAAGAAGATCATCAATACAAGACCTACAAAAATGCCACCAAAAAAAGATCTACATATAAGCAAAAATAACTGACTGCAATATTTAAAAGGGGAAAAAATAAATATCAAAATGGCATATTTTTTTACCAAGTGAGCGATTCAGGCTAATGAGATCCTCTTGTTTCTTTTTCTTTTTCTGATTTTTACTGATTTTAGTTTTTGATCCCTTTTGAATTGCGTGTTTTATTAAATATAGAAATTTTTTAGGAGTTTGGAACAAATTGTAGTTAAGAAAATCGCAAGCCCCCAAAAAAGTCAATGGCATTCCTTATAGCGCTGAGTGTCGCAGTGAAAAACGCTCTTTTATCTCCCCGAACTACAAGCATTTCATGCGTGGAATATGTGGAAACCAACGATTTATTATGAAAACCTAAATATATGGGAATATTTAATTTCTTATTAATGTATTTCTCTTCCGGTGGTACTCTATTTTATATTATAAATATAAAGGAAACTTATTTTGTACATTTTATGGAATGTCTTGCGAAAAACGAAGTAGAAAAGAACACGTTCTTAATTAAATATTATGTAATCTTTTATAAACACAACGTACAAAAACATTAATTTAATGACAAGAACACGCTTTCGAAAACGATAAACTATTTATGATATATTAGTTATGTATGATTTATCTATATTCCTTTCGTTTCATCTTCAGGGAACTAACAACCGAGCACAAAGACATGATCATGAAGAGGACTTGAAATGCATTTTTCAAAACCAAGTGTATGCATACTTTGTTTTCCGCAAATGTTATAAATCATGTGGTCTGATGTTTTTCTTGCAAACTTTGCGTTTAAAAATAGCAATGAAAATTCCTTTGCATTACGGATAAATGTGTGCAATTTTGAATTTTTCGCCGATCGCTCCCCAAGAAAAGATTTAAAGAGTTTGTATTGTTTTATTCGGGATTTCAAAAACACATGTAAACCAATCAATCAGACGACAGAACTTCTTTCCTATAAAATATAAGGTCAATGTCATAATTTTTTAAATTTGTTTGTATGAGGTTTAGAAACTGGGAAAGGGCGAGATTTACCAAGTCCTTCGATAGTTCCGTGTCGAATACAAAAAAAGTTGATAATTTTTCTGACATTGATCAATATTGTTTTTATATTGCATGTAAACATCGCTTCAATTATGGTTATAAATATGTTTACACAAAAATAAAATATTCTCCATCTCTAAACGAGCCCCAAATTGTAAAGAAACCGAAGTGACTCGACATGAAATTGACATCGCACGAAATATCACTTTGTTACTTTCTTTGGTCAATAAAGACAACAGGAAGTGTTCTAGTTGCGATATAATTCTTGAAATTGAAAACGAAAAAGATCAGAAATACAATACAATGTAGCTGTGTTTATATTTATTCAGATAAGGAATTGCATAGCTATTTTCAAAAGAGGTGTATTATCTAATATGAACGTTTGAAACAGATTTGGTAACTGCTTTAGCGAGAAAAGATAATAAGTAAAATAGAGAATGGAAACGGGGATTGAGTCAAAGAGACAACAACCCGACCAAAGAGCAGAATAAGACCTATTTGAGTCAATTCAATTTTCATTTCCGTATAGCTGTCTAATATAGGTATTCTTGATTAACTCACTTGTAAACATTAGCTAGTGTTGTGATTTTTGTTAATCCGTCTAAATTCCCAATAACAGTCATTGTAGGTACATTCAACTGCAATAATATCTTGTCTGACATAACATGAGTCCCAAGTAGTATAATTCCGCTTACTACGTCTGGGTATTCTGACACAAACTGTTGAATTAACGATCCTAAAGAGAGAGAGAAAAACATGGTATTACTGTATCAAAATAGATGGCAACTTTAACGTGATTGCAACATAAGTAGAGTGCTCGAAGCAACACAATCTTATTAAAATACAGCTCCTGTGTTCAAGCTTTGCTTACAAGGATCTGTCAAACTCCGCTTTACTTTCTGTTCTGTTGATTATTACATCAGCCAATGAAAATCCAGCCTTCAAATATTTGAAGGTGTGTATTAATCTAAAAAAAACAACAGAGGATCCCGAAAGGTCTTTAGAACAGAAAGTAGATTTGAGCATTTTCAGATCCTTGTAAGCAAAGCTTGGGACAGGATCTGTATTTCAATGAGATTTGAAGCAACATGAACGAAGAATTGAAACTCCGAAGGACAAGACAAGATGATCTACAAACCAATAGTCTATAATTATTATCATCGACAAATAACTAAAACAATCAGGAAAAAACATATAAAGGTTAAATTTAGATAATTATGGCGAACGATAAAAAAAAATCCAATCAAATGTTACCCTCTTCTTATGAATATTTACTTGGCATGTCTTGTATCTATTTGTTAAATCTTTCGCTCTCCTATTTTTTGGCACATAGGATTAAAAGAAGTTCATTCTGAAAGTTGGTTTAAACTTTCAATTTAAATATATATATATTAGTCACAGGTATCTTGTATTGAAAAGAAAGTGGTCATAGGTTTCTCCTCTAGAAGATGGTAAAGAGGCCGGCTAGGTATGTGTTCAAAGTCTATGTAGATCGGTCCACTTGTAATTTTATCGATATAAGGAATCTTAGTGTCATTGGTAGCACATGGTCAGAAGCGATGTCGTGTTATATGTAATAGCCAAAGATTTTACATGTTTGTGCGTAAACCCCGAGCCCATCAACTTGTCCTTGACCTATTTCACAAGAAGAACCCCACATGGAAAAACAGTCGTAAGTCATTACATTTATTTTTGCAATCAGATCGATCAGATTGGTAATTCTGGTTAAAGAAAAATCCAAAAGAACAATAGTCGTACTTCATCGCTGTGCCTTTTCATTATAACATTGGAGATATATAATTTGAACCGTATTCTTGAGTAACTTTATTGATTTTGTTAAAACAAATATGCATTACAATTCAGTGTTTGTTTCTGTTCTCTTTTTTAAATTCGCTTAGAGAGTTTATCTTGCTATATTTTCATTCGATAAAGCTATTTAAAAAAATAGCTCTTGCTACCACAAGTACAAGGAATAGTAAATAACACTAAATCTTATGATACTATACAATTACAATTATAGCCTTTGTATGAGGTCGATACGAGGATATATCGACCTGAAAGAAGTATATTGACTGAGGACGCAGTCCGATGTCGACATATCCTCGTATCGACCTCATAGAAAGGCTACAATTTTTATAGCATTATTGTCAATAGCACCAATTCATTTGTTTTGTTGTTTCGATTGTGTCAGATATTCTAAAAACAACCGTGCAATATCACTTTAATATCTGCTGGTTACAGTCTATCTTTGAAAATATAGTTGAACATGTGACTCTTTCTAAACGAATCAAATTAGTTATAATATTCACGATAATAATATAAATGTATATAAAAGAAATCAGACTGAACATTTATCAACTCAGCGATGGACCAAATTGTTAAACTTGAAGTGGATACGGTATTGGTGTGGTCGATACAACATTCCCCAAAATGCAAACAGCTATCTACCAATGCAAGGGAACACGGTTTTTAGTGCTTTATTTTATCTTATATATGATAATGGCTCTTAAATTGTTGTATCTTCATGATTTTTACTATTAAGGTATATTTTTTTGTATTATTTATGGGAGATCTGTGAAAGTCTATGTAAGATGCTTACAGCTTTTCTAAACTGCATGTGGTTTAGAGCTTGACATATGTATACGCTATATTGACTTGTAAATGTGCTCTCATTTACGCCCGGGATTCTGTCAATGACGTTAGAATGATGTAAATGGCGTTGGGATGCTGTCAATGACGTTGGATTATTGTCAATGATGTTGGATTATTGTCAATTGCGTTTGGATGCTGTCAGTGGCGTTTAGATGCTGTCATAACGTTGGGATGCCATCAGTGACGTTTAGGGTGCTGTCAATGATATCGGGATGCGGTCACTTTCGAAAGGGATGCTGTCACTGATGATTTGCAAAAGGGATGCTTTCAGAAACGTTAAAGTGCTGGCAATGACGTTTGAATGCTTTCATTGGCATTTGTCAATGGCGTATAACCAATATTTCCTTTAATGCATACTTCAAATTTTTATATCGTCCTGAACATGCATGAAATATTTGCTACTGGACGTTAAGCAACCAACAATCAATCAATTTAATTTTTATTTGTTAAGGACACGTAAATTGTGAAGTTATTATATTGGTATATCGGATACAATTTTTAACGTTAGAAATACCAGACTGGCCATGTCCACCAAGAATTATTTGTACTTTTCCAGTGGTCTTCTTTAAACGGTACACCTCTGTGTTGATCATATCGACCAGTCGTAAAACGTCTGTAACCTCATAATATGTTCCTCTTTTGTCTTCAATGATACCTATCCATAACTGTAGTGGACAGAATGTCTGGATAGCGGTGCCTATAAAAAATATAACAAAGAGAATTACCTACCATAATTGTAGTGGACAGAATGTCTGGATAGCGGTGCCTATAAAAAATATAACAAAGAGAATTACCTACCATAATTGTAGTGGACAGAATGTCTGGATAGCGGTGCCTATAAAAAATATAACAAAGAAAATTACCATCCATAACTGTAGTGGAGAGAATGTCTGGATAGCGGTGCCTATAAAAATTATAACAAAGAGAATAACCTATCCATAATTGTAGTTGAAAGGGTGTCTGGATAACGGTACCTATAAAAAAATATAACAAAGATAATTACCGATAGTCGTATGTTCGAAAATTAAAACCGCCGTAATTCATCGATTGGATCGAAGTTTATAATACCCCTGCTTAAAATGAGTAGGGTTGTACTGGTTTTTCGATGTTCGTCCATCACACATTTCTAGCGAATTCTTACTCATAGACTACAAATAATATCTTCATAATATTTAGTTGAAGATATTTCGTGTGACATTATATAAATAACACATAGCTGAGAGGATGATAGAGCAGATTGTTACCCCGAGAAAACATTGTCAACTGAGGCGAAGTCAAGGTTGATAATGTCTTTTCGAGGGGTAATAATCTGCTCTATCACCCTCTCAGATATGTATTATTTAATTTATTATACTGAATGTTCTGTCTTTAAATTTCAAATGCAAAGTCATAAACTATGTCGTTTTATACATAACAATCATCCGTATTTATTAAAGCGCACACTTGAGCAAGCGTCTCCGCGAAGGGTAATATGGTATTTGCCATGGGAAAGAGTAAATTGTCTCCCTCGTATTAACTAATCAAAATCTGGCATTTTGACATGAAGTATAATAAAGTAAATTGTCTCCCTTGTATTAACCAATCAAAATCTGGCATTTTGACGTGAAGTATATTAAAGTAAATTATCTCCCTCGTATTAACCATTCAAAATCTGGCATTTTGACATGAAGTATATTAATAATATTATGTTATTCTGGACCTTCACGTGGGATATTACTAGTTAAAAAGTGTGCTAGCTATTGACCTTATACAAAAATACGGGGTCAGTATATTCCATACGGGACAAGAGCTCATGTGAAGCCCGAATAACAATGATATTATATTGGAGTGTCCTAATTTCAACATAAGTGACAATTCTGATCTTCATTTTTTTTGTTCACAGGATAAATGGGTTCATATACTCTGTCACGATAACCAATCAAATTGCAGGACTAGCCGGGATTATTCATACCAGTATATTATCCATCATTTTTATATGTCCTATATATGTCGCACATGTTCTTTACTTGATGCATGAATAAATAAATTTGGTGTATTTACTGTCTTCTGATTGGTTAAAAGTATTACCCTTATTTTCAATGTTGTCAATTTTTATGGCGACACGCCCACTCTGACGTTGTGTATTCATACGCCAACATGTGTGTACGTTGTTATTGTTAATATAAATAATATAAAAAGCTCTTTGAGCCTTATATTTGATAGAAATTTATTCATAATGAATGACAATAATTTATTTTGAATTTATTGAACCATAAAATTAATTTTTGACTCTTCACATTTAACATAATCCGCTTCGCGGATTATTCAATGTGAAGAGTCAAAAATTAATTTTATGGTTCAATAAATTCAAAATAAATAATAGTCATTCATTAAATAAAATAAATGAGATTCAACATATAAGCGTTGATTCTTTCAAAAGATATCATGAGCCTGGAGGGCTACGTTTTAGGGTTTGTTTTCTTAATCAGTGCAAGGAGGTTGTATATAACCTCTTTGATCAGTGGAACTTATGAATACCGTTTAATGAATAAACATGATTATGTTCAATGTAAAAGAGAATATATCCTAAATAGCTCACTCACACTAGATATAAAGCTTATAAGCTTTAATATGATTTTTGGATATTTTACATGAATATATGACTTAAATAAACTGAAAACAGAGTATTCCTCTGAAATTTTAGTAAGCAACGATTAGTCATTCAAACTTGAATAAGATAATCAACTTTCAACTGTATTTTTAAACACGGCGTAAAAACCCGGAAAGAAAATAATGCTATAAAGCGCGAATACAATGCATGGTTTGGTTAAAGTGCACTATATAAATTAGAAAAAAATATATCTATTTACCTAAGGATTTGTAAGCTTCAGCTGGAACGTCTTCCTCGGGAAATAAAATGAAAAGTACGGCGTCACCTCCATGTTTTTTTGCTGTCAGAATTCTATGGCTGACGACAAGAGGCAGAATTATTCCAAACACTAACAGTATGAATTGCATTTTATTTGTTATATATAATTTCACATTTTTCTAATGCATTGTTTGCTGAAGAAAGATATACGCTAATCGATTCCTTGTGTTATAGTTTACTTTACTGGATGTAATGACAAATGCCAGTGATTCTGAATAAACAGTAAATAATAGTGATGAATAATAGTATAATAGCTCGATTAACAATATTGTAGAATGAAGGATTATAGAATGATGTTCCACTTGCTGTGTTTTTCCTCAATGCATCACGGTTAAAATGGGCTATCTGTAAACTTCGAAAAATATCACAGCGGCTGTCGATGGCGAATGTGAAATAAAACCGCCTTTTCAATCAGAAAATAATCCAGATGCATTGCTCTTTTTAAATTGTATTTCATGTAAAAGAAACTTTTAAAAATCCTCACAAGTTCATATTAGTATTGAATCAATGCGAAAAATGTAAATAAAGAATTTTTAAACTCTCTCGTGTTTTCATACAAGTACTCCGTTCCTATATCAAAGAAAAACTGAGTTCAATAGTCTTGTAAGCTTCCGAGAGTTACCGAGGGCAAAGCGTAATATCTACATCATAATTTACTATTAGAAAGTTGCATAACCTAACATTATGAGAAATCACAGTATCATTGTCGGAAAGTAATGGCCATACTTTTAATCTGATGATAGTCTGAGTACAAGAGAGGAAAATGTCAATTGTGATGAGGGCCATTAACTAATATTACACAGTATTATTTCTGACATATCATAAGTTGAAAACGTATATCTATCATAAAATAATTCAAACATACTATTATTAAAACTACAAACGAGACGCCCTTTCACTTGAGTGTCTTCCTCTAGGGTGTTCGGTATAAAGTTTGAAAAATATCAATTAGAAGTGTCCATTTCCGTTCAAAGTTCTTGATTTAAGATAAATATCTTTGTATCTTCCAATAAAACGGATGTTTAATTGAATACTCTTAACCACATGAACCGTGAATTTGTATGGGAAATAATAATAAGAGGTGACAAAAGTCTCGTTTGAATTACTGTCTAAAAATCTAAATTATGATACATTCGATACTTCAGCGTGTCCGGTTCCATCACAGACTCTCATGCATTTCCGATTTCTAGATTATGTCAATTAATCGTTTTACCCCTATAAACCAAACTGAAAATATATAGCGAATATATATAATTATATGCTGTAACTTTTATTTAATAATAAAGAAAGGACTCAAAACCTTGAGGGTATCTTCGCCATGTAAGCTTACTTATATTGTCAACAAAATTACTATTGTTGATAGAAAATACAATTTACGCGTCATTTAATGATGTGTTTATTAGAATACTATATGAAGATGGTAAGATAGACAGAATCATAGGTGAAGAAACGGGGTTAACATTTCATGTTACTCTGACAGCTCAAGATCATGCATAATTGTATAAGCTTTGCAGTACGTCAGTTTTTACGATTCATGTTTGAAAAACGGATGCATTGTTAACATCATGACATAATAAAGTCATAAGCGCCTAAACATATACTTTTGAAAGGATCTAGGAGGTGGTCATCAAAAGTTGAGGGATAAAGTTTTGTGTTTGTCGACGTTTATTCTTACAATCAAGAGGTTGCACTGATTTTACTGTATGAATTAATGCCACATTAAGTTTTACAAAATTGCGATTGCCATGGCGCCTTTGAATGAAGTCAAATGTGACAAAAGATTTTTTTCCTCTAAAAATATGAATACTCTTGGCCACTGTCGTGAATTGCTGAAATTTTTTAAGCGTAAATTTTTCACAAGACAACTGGTTACTATTTTTACGTTTTGAAATGCAAAAGTTCTGTCGGATTCTAGCTCCTTCCACCTGTTTTGAAACCCAATTAAAAACAACTCAATTGTTTTAACTCTGTAACTCTTAACTATTTCTTCACAAACAGAAGCATAAAGTTTTGATGCAGAAGGAAACGGTATTACATTTATACGTTAAGCTTCAATTAGATTAGACAGTAATTTTGCAATGGATGAAATCCAATTTTCATCAACCATTCTTACTAAAGCCTGGCAAATTTGGCCCGACTAACAAAGGAAGCTGTCTTTTTTCATAAAAAGGTGTATGTCATCAGACAAAGATTACGATACCACAGTTTTAGCTTGTCAGATCGACCTTATTTTATTCTTATAGGTGGCGATGTGAGAGACATGTGTCCTCTTTAATTAGATATGTGCATTAAAACCCAGCTAAATTCACTTGTGCTACGAATAGTCGTATTAATTTTTCGTTTTATTTCCCTCAAGACAAAAAAAGTGCCTTGAATTTTCCCATTATTAACTTTCCGTTGGCATGTAGCAACATTTCAGCAGCATCTGCATATCAAGATCTTCCTATCATCGGCAGGAATTTACTTTATAAATGGTTGCTGGTTACAATGAAGCTACTGAACAATAGGTTTTTGAGGTAAAATCGAAGACATCTCGAAAGCTTTACCGACGACATCTTGGCAGACAGGCTTGCTTGACTTTTATGATATATATGTGCTAGATGACAAACGATGTTTGTTTTCATATAATCACAATCCCGTTCCCCTTCTTCGTTTATGAATTGTCGCCTAATCTACTTTGTATTTTCTTACTTGACAAAAGCAAGTGATACTAGAAAAGCATGGTACATTTTCCAGAATCTACCAATCTGATTGAAAGTAAGATCCATCACAACTCGCGTGCTCGTATTATAAGAAGATAACGAAACCAGAGATTTATATTTTTTTTAGATTGTAGTCACATCTAAATTGGTTGGAGTACAAATACCAATGAAAACATGCTGTATGATTAAGGAACAATTTAAGATTCTAACAGATGAAAAATCAATTTGATTGATCCACAATAATGCATAAACACTTTGGTTCAAGTTAACATAAAAGGCCCTTTCTGATGTATTGCCATATTGAGAGTTGTCTAAACTTGTATGAAGCTGCACTTTATACGTCAGTATCTAATAGGGAGTAGGCTAAGATTGCCTACTATCAGTCCTGAAAGAACTGATCAAAAGTCGTTGACCTCAAAGTTAATACTTTTGTTAATAAGATGGCCAAAGTACTAGTAACCCGAATTATCAGCTAACACAAATATAAAATTAAGAAGATGTGGTACGATTGCCAAAGAGACATCTCTCCACCAGAGACCAAATGCCATAGAAGTAAGTGTGATACATGGATAATAACAATTTTTTTTAAGGTGGGTATGATGTAAAAAATATCAAAACAGTACATGCAGATGTGTCATCAATATTCAAGAGAGATGCAGATGAATTTGGTCACTTTTTCATTCGTTGGAATTGAATGAATTCAAATATTACCCAAAACAATAAAAAAATAACTTCTCCCAACAAAGTTGATATTTTTATGAGTTACATTTGTATGTGTGTATTTACATGTAGCAATAAAAGCGCTGTTCCTTTGCTTTTTGTGTGTTTTTTTGCTGTACTGATTTTGTGTCATGGATGGATACCCCATATCCTTTGTTTTTCTATTATATATATTTAAAAGTGTCTCCTAATTTGAGCAATAAACATCCATGAACTTCTGTTGACAAAATGGTTGATCATTTCAGGCTATCGTTTGGGCAATGATCATTTTAACTTCAATTTCAAATAAGCACTATATTTTTATTATTCAAGACAAAGTCATATACACAAATCAACATCTTACATATACATACACTAGCACTATAATGTTAACGAAAACACAAGCTTAGAAATAATAGTTCTGCTCACTAAACATTGCAAACTCTGTGAAATTAGTGGACTGAGGACGAAATCTTTTCCTTGACTGGTCTCTTTGTTCTTGAACCAGCTGTACATGTGGTGCATATTCTGGGAATTTTTCGAGGAAATAGTTTGGTACTTGACGCTTTCTATTATTTGCTCTGCTCCTCTTGTTGGCAAACCACGACTTGACCTGAGGTACTGTTATTCCTGTTGTAATGGCTAGCATTTCTTTTTCTTTCTCTGATGGGTATGGATTAGTGATGTGTTGCTGGTACCAACCATTCAAGGTTTCTCTGGATTTACCGTCAAGTTGGCTGTACGTATTACCATTATCCGTGTCTTTCTTCTTTCCGGTTAGCTTATTCTTAATCGGGTGTTTGTTTCCAGTGATGGATAGAGTATTAAAGCAACGAACTCTTTTGTTTGCCATCCATTTCTTCACCTGTTTGGTATAAAGGTTTGTAATGTTTGCTAGTTCTTCTACTTCTTTATCGTTTGGGTAGGGATACGTCACGTGAGCATCATACCATTCTGTCAGTATCCGTGTAGCTTCTGGTTTAATCTGGCGTGGCCTTGACAAACATCTATCAGTGTTCGGTTTCTTCGGTTGTTGGTCAGATGTAAGGCGACTTTCTTCTTCAAATTTGCGCTTTAGTGATAGTCGTCTTGGCGAATTAGTTCTCTGGTCAGTATTTGGTGGTGATACCTGCTTGCATTGCATGTAATCCTGTCGAGGTAAATCGAATGATTCCAATACATTTGAAATATGTACTGAAGTGGTTGCACCAAACTGCTGATACAAGTCTGTACTTTCAGGGAGAACATCGGCAGCTTCCATAGCTAAGCTGAGTACGTCTATGTCCTGAATGGGTAAAGTCGAATCACTTGATGAAAAACTGGTAGATGCTGATTCATATGAAGCACTAGAGTTGATAGTTCTTTTTGCAGTTTGTTTGTGTTGTTTTGTTGTGGTTTCTAGTAACACAAGTTCTTCAAGATTACGTTTGGTGTCTTCTATCAGCTGAAATCGACAATGGTCAAATCTGTCATGAATAAAATGAGAGTGTTCTTGTGTGGAGCTGACTTCTATATATCTGGCAACTTCCATTGTGCTTACCTCTTTGGAATATCTACATTCAATGTCTCGAGCTTTTGTCACAACTTGACAGTTCTGTTGAGATCTGAGTTGTAGGAATCTCTTCTGAAGATTTAGGTGAGCAGAATGAATATTTGAACTTCGACCAACAGCACTGTTCTTAGAATCCCACTTGACATTCATTAAGTTTGTTGGTACCTGCATATGAAGACATTCTTCTGCTAACAACTTTGACAAGTCTTTAAACATTGAGTTTTGTTGCAAGTTTTGTAAATAATTTTCTTTATTATTGTACAACGGTTTCAATTGCTGTCCATCAGTGAGTAGTCGTCTGCGAGTCTGTTTGCTGCTGATGTTGTTTCCATGGAAGCAGGTGAAAGGTTGTGCTGTAACAAGGGGATCATTTGGTTTCCTGTTGAAGATGGATATTCCTGTTACCGGTGACATGCTATTGAGTTTGTTTTCAGATAACAACAGTAGAGACGGTGACAGAAACTGGAGAAAATCTGGCGTGGAAATCTCTGATTGGTCGTGGCTACGATCCTCTCCAAACTGGAACACGTGGTTCTTGTATGGGGTCTCCATATCAATGCTGCTAACTGTATATCTTTTTTAGTTTAAAGAATATTTCTATATATTGCAATGTTGAGATTATGATTTAAACTGTAACCTTAAGCATAATATATAGTTTATTTTGTAAAGTGACGTGAGTCTCATTCTCAAAATGAGTATGTATACATGTAAGCAAGGTATACAATTATATGTTATGATAGCAGAGTTAATTGAGTTACACAAAATAAGAACCTCATAGTTATTGTTACTAACATAATATTAATCAAGTCCTAATGCAAGGTTACCTCAATTGTCTAAGTATTGCATACGGGCTTGATTAAAGTAATTACATTTAATTTTCTTTAATTTAGGTGTGCATGGAATGATTCACTCTCCACAAACCTTAAGTGTTAAAATTATCAAAATATGGATATTTCTCCTTGTTTGTATAAATTTAGAAGAAAATTTCATAACACATATACAATTTTACTTGTCATTTGTTTCAAATGGTGTCTTACTGGAATGCCTTCATTTTGTAAAATATCTATTCCTCGAATTGTGGCATTGAATAAATGTTGTTTTAGTGAATGGGTGTTGTTTTAAAACAGAATTTAATTAGAAGCTAAAAGGTAAAAATTATATTGCACCTTAGAAATATCACAAAAGATTTAATTGAAATGCATGGAATGGATTAAAAGTAATATAGTATGAAATCTTAAAATAAAAAAAGAAATAAATAAATAAAAGAAATAAGATGCATTTATAGATGTTTTTAAAATTACCGAAATGAACTGTTATTTAAAAAAAAGTATTCTTTGTGAGATGTGACCATTCATGGTGTAAATTTTAAGTATATGTGTTCTTAATTTATGTGTGATTGTGAAATGTGCTTTGATATTTTGGTTCTTTTTGTTCTTTATGTGTTTGTGTTACATGATTATTGGGGAAGAAATCTGTTTGCGCCAAATATGCATCATTTTGTGCCACAAGGTTTAAGAATACCCAGTATCATTTGCGCCAAAAATGTAGTATAAAACCATTTCGTAGATACAATTTTAGTTTTGATTATACATTATACAACTGAAAGATGATTTTTATTATAGAGAAAAAAAAACCCGCTAAAAACGAGATGAAAGCAAGTGATGACACCATTTGAATGTCCCATCACCAAATACGTCTTCAAGTTATGTATCCCAACAGAAAAATTTCAAAAAATCTCAAAATTATCAATTATAATCATTCTAAAAAAAAATCTTCTGTATGCAACAATGACTCCAATTTATTCCATAAAGTATTATATCTTATGCAGATGTTCTATAATGTGTTATAGACAAAGATATCTATTGGGTAAATGATTGATTGTTGGTTGCTTAACGTCCAGTGGCAAATATTGCATGCATGTTTAGGACGAGAACAAATTAATGATACATAAAAGAGGTAAGTCCTGTAATAGGCGTTGTCCAGGACGAAGGGCGGGAATTTTGGAATGTAACTGGAAAATGAGGGTAAATTGGATAGGAACTGAAATGTTGCCCTGCAAAAAGTCACCAACCCCTCAAAGAGTTGTTGCAAAAGTTCTTAACGTGCAGGGAGCGTGGCACTCTTTCTCGCTACAAAATGCAAGTCATCAGTCAGATTTAACGGCGTACCCATTCTGAACGGATGTGGCTGCAAATTTCAACTTCCCATACAACCAAACCACGCCCCACTTTTGCAAGTGTTTGTCTGCCAGTCGGGAGAAGACCAGGAGTGACCATGCATATTTCTATTCTATTCTCCAGTGTGGTCTACTTATTCTTATTATCTTTAATATGCTTTCACTGAGCTGTCAACAAAAGCTAGACGTTTTTTTCATCATTTTTTCAACAACAACAAAAAAGATTTTCTCTTTTAAAACAAACAGAGATAAAATTATTTCATTGCAAACAGAAAAATGGTAATATTACCTTGGAAATTTTATTGGAAGACTGTCAATAATATATTATGTCACAGCTTGGGCTATGTTAGGTTATAGACATAGTTCCAGTAATTCAGACAGTAACATGTCGGTATTTTATTACTAGTTTAAAAAGAGCAAGTTTCATTTTTTCAAGTTACATTGTACCTGGGACTTTTATACTATAATTAGTATAGTAGTCCTAGATTGTACATCAAACGTTTCTCAGTATAGCCTGAAGTCCATTACTAGTCTAGTAATGGACTTCTGATATAACATAATAATAATAATAATAATAATAATATTTTATTCAATGCACTCACTTGGCACTTGAAAAATTAAAAAATTGATTCAATAATCAAGGATTTGTTTACAAATCCTTGCTCTCACTATAAAAATCTAAGTGAAAAAGATATTATTATGTTCAAACGTTTTCAGTATGGATTTTTTTTAATGACGCCAATACGGAATTTTTCAAGCTCAGCGAATCCGATTTGTGGTTTATTACAAAGACTAACATAATATTAATCAAGTCCTAATGCAAGGTTACCTCAATTGTCTAAGTATTGCATACGGGCTTGATTAAAGTAATTACATTTAATTTTCTTTAATTTAGGTGTGCATGGAATGATTCACTCTCCACAAACCTTAAGTGTTAAAATTATCAAAATATGGATATTTCTCCTTGTTTGTATAAATTTAGAAGAAAATTTCATAACACATATACAATTTTACTTGTCATTTGTTTCAAATGGTGTCTTACTGGAATGCCTTCATTTTGTAAAATATCTATTCCTCGAATTGTGGCATTGAATAAATGTTGTTTTAGTGAATGGGTGTTGTTTTAAAACAGAATTTAATTAGAAGCTAAAAGGTAAAAATTATATTGCACCTTAGAAATATCACAAAAGATTTAATTGAAATGCATGGAATGGATTAAAAGTAATATAGTATGAAATCTTAAAATAAAAAAAGAAATAAATAAATAAAAGAAATAAGATGCATTTATAGATGTTTTTAAAATTACCGAAATGAACTGTTATTTAAAAAAAAGTATTCTTTGTGAGATGTGACCATTCATGGTGTAAATTTTAAGTATATGTGTTCTTAATTTATGTGTGATTGTGAAATGTGCTTTGATATTTTGGTTCTTTTTGTTCTTTATGTGTTTGTGTTACATGATTATTGGGGAAGAAATCTGTTTGCGCCAAATATGCATCATTTTGTGCCACAAGGTTTAAGAATACCCAGTATCATTTGCGCCAAAAATGTAGTATAAAACCATTTCGTAGATACAATTTTAGTTTTGATTATACATTATACAACTGAAAGATGATTTTTATTATAGGGAAAAAAAAACCCGCTAAAAACGAGATGAAAGCAAGTGATGACACCATTTGAATGTCCCATCACCAAATACGTCTTCAAGTTATGTATCCCAACAGAAAAATTTCAAAAAATCTCAAAATTATCAATTATAATCATTCTAAAAAAAAATCTTCTGTATGCAACAATGACTCCAATTTATTCCATAAAGTATTATATCTTATGCAGATGTTCTATAATGTGTTATAGACAAAGATATCTATTGGGTAAATGATTAATTGTTGGTTGCTTAACGTCCAGTGGCAAATATTGCATGCATGTTTAGGACGAGAACAAATTAATGATACATAAAAGAGGTAAGTCCTGTAATAGGCGTTGTCCAGGACGAAGGGCGGGAATTTTGGAATGTAACTGGAAAATGAGGGTAAATTGGATAGGAACTGAAATGTTGCCCTGCAAAAAGTCACCAACCCCTCAAAGAGTTGTTGCAAAAGTTCTTAACGTGCAGGGAGCGTGGCACTCTTTCTCGCTACAAAATGCAAGTCATCAGTCAGATTTAACGGCGTACCCATTCTGAACGGATGTGGCTGCAAATTTCAACTTCCCATACAACCAAACCACGCCCCACTTTTGCAAGTGTTTGTCTGCCAGTCGGGAGAAGACCAGGAGTGACCATGCATATTTCTATTCTATTCTCCAGTGTGGTCTACTTATTCTTATTATCTTTAATATGCTTTCACTGAGCTGTCAACAAAAGCTAGACGTTTTTTTCATCATTTTTTCAACAACAACAAAAAAGATTTTCTCTTTTAAAACAAACAGAGATAAAATTATTTCATTGCAAACAGAAAAATGGTAATATTACCTTGGAAATTTTATTGGAAGACTGTCAATAATATATTATGTCACAGCTTGGGCTATGTTAGGTTATAGACATAGTTCCAGTAATTCAGACAGTAACATGTCGGTATTTTATTACTAGTTTAAAAAGAGCAAGTTTCATTTTTTCAAGTTACATTGTACCTGGGACTTTTATACTATAATTAGTATAGTAGTCCTAGATTGTACATCAAACGTTTCTCAGTATAGCCTGAAGTCCATTACTAGTCTAGTAATGGACTTCTGATATAACATAATAATAATAATAATAATAATAATATTTTATTCAATGCACTCACTTGGCACTTGAAAAATTAAAAAATTGATTCAATAATCAAGGATTTGTTTACAAATCCTTGCTCTCACTATAAAAATCTAAGTGAAAAAGATATTATTATGTTCAAACGTTTTCAGTATGGATTTTTTTTAATGACGCCAATACGGAATTTTTCAAGCTCAGCGAATCCGATTTGTGGTTTATTACAAAGACTTCCGGTTTAAGTTGTAAACAAAAGAAAGAATACAATATGTAAAAATTTTGGTCGAAAAGTAAGCAAATGCATCATCATTTTATGTTCTAAATAAGAAAAATGTATAAATATACTAATTTTGATTAGCATTATCGGTTTGTTCGAGCTGGCAGTTAGCCAATGATCTGAACTAACCGTGTATACTTGTACTACTAATACCAGAGAAAGGAACCTCTTGCCACTGCCAGCTTTTAGTGACCATCTCTAAAAACAATACCACAGACTTTCTCAATTACAGCCACTACGGCGTTAACACACAATAATAACTGATCAGTTAAAACAAAACATAAACTAAAACAATGTAAATACATTATTATGTCCTATTTGGTGATTGTCTTGCCTCTTGGTAAAATTTACATCTAAATGTTGAACTGTCAATTTTAACCAACAGGAGAGTTGTTGTTTCAATGTAGAGATTGAAAAAGTCGTATCATTTGACATTTTTCTGTGCACATGCCTAGGTTTTTACACAGGCGATTTAAGCAAATGTTATGTTTTATTTAGATTTCCACCTAAAAAAGTTGACCGTGCAGTTCTAGTTTGACTTCCTTACCCTGATAAAAATCTACCGTAAGTTGACATCATCCATATGTTGATGTTTTCATGCAGACGATGTTCTACTGATCCCAACACTGCATAGGTTTCTGACGTTTTCACATAAAGTTTATGTGTAAAAAGAAATCAGAAATGGTAAAAGAGACTATTCCGAACTAAAGTATACTCGATGACTCTAATATGTGCAAGTAACAGAAAATTTAGAAGTTACACAGAAAACTGTATAAAGCAAATAAAAAAAAAGTTAAATGAGAAAAGAATAAATAATACAAGAAAAAGGGGGTTACCATTTGCTTTTCATTCAATCCAGCTTCAGTGACAGAACCAGGGAAATAAACCCTGGTGGCACAGTTCATCCCTTGAAAATACCAGGAAAATGGAAGCACTTAATAGAGGAGCAAGAATGTGTTGAATCTCATAGGAACTAAAGAAAATGCCTCATATTCTGTAATTTCTGTTGCTGGTAAGGAGTTCAAAGCTCTCACTGTACTTTGGAAGAAGTGGTACTTAAAGCCATTGTTCTTTGTTAAATATTGTCCTTGCAGTTTGGTATGTGCTGTCATTGGTGTAAAGTTTTGTCACGTACATGGTCTAGAGTATAATTCTTGGAACCAGACTTGGTGAAAACATGGTATTTTCCTGATTGCTATTAAAAAAAAGAATTAAAAAGATAAGTCCCAACCTCTATATTTAAGCATGCATATTAATTTTTATGGCATAATGCAAATGTTTACAATGCAACAGTTTTTTTTTTTATGAATTGATAAGTTAAAAATTATTTTGATTGTTACTTGTTAATTTTTTAGATCAAAGATGATCACATATCAGAAGGTGTACACAGATCATGTACATTCCAGTACATTGATGAGCCAGTTTACACAGCTCTGGAGAAATCGTTTAATGTGTGATGCTGATCTTGTTGCTGGAAATACTGTTATAAAGGTATCAGGGAATTAAAGGAAATATTGAATATACATCATTGACACAGCATAATAACAAATACAAACAAGCTAAATCATCTGCATATAATTTTTTTCTTGATACATGTAAAAGCACTTCAGAGTGTCATTTGGGTAGTATTTTCAACAAATTAATATGTTTTTTATGCCCCCGCCGTAGCGTACGTCCGAAAGTTGGTTTCTATCTCTAACTTTAGATTGCCTCAACCAAATGTTATGAAACTTATACACAATGCTTATTACCACAAAATACAGATAAAATTTAAATTTTGGGGGTGTCACTTTTATTGTTCTAGAGTTATGCCCCTTTACAAATGGAAAAATTGCTGAATTTTTCGTTTCCGTTCTCTATCTTAAGTTTTCCTCAACCAAATGCTATGAAACTTATACACAATGCTTATTACCACAAAATACAAATCAAGTCAGAATTTTGGTGGTGACACTTTAACCATTCTAGAGTTATACCCCTTTACAAATGGAAAAATTGCTGAATTTTTTCGTTTCCTTTCTTACTTAAGTTAGCCTCAACCAAATGTTATGAAACTTATACACAATGCTTATTTCAACAAAATAAAGATCAAGTCTGAATTTTTGGTGGTGTCACTTTTACTGTTGTAGAGTTATGCCCCTTTACAAATGGAAAAAAATACTGAATTTTTTGTTTCCATTCTCTTACTTAAGTTTGCCTCAACCAAATGTTATGAAACTTATACACAATACCTATTACCACAAACTCAGATCAAGTAAAAATTTGGGTAGAGTCACTTTTACCATTCTTCAGTTATGTCCCTTAATAACTTTATATAATATGCAAGCAGGGGCATCATCTGTGTTTCTATGGACACATTCCCCATTTATTTTTTTAAGTTTTAAGCAACTGTTTATGAAAACTAGTTGCTTGTCAGGGATGATTCCACTATACAGTTTAGGCGGCGGCCCCAAAAAAATTGATGTGAATATAAATTCCCAATTCAGGAAAAATAAAATAATAATCGATATTTCTGGAAATGTTTCCGTCATCGATTTAGGCAACTATAATTTTTCATAGTTTGTCGTCAAAACGTTTTAAAATCCAGATAAGAATTTTATATTTTGTCAGGCTCTATTTCCGCAAAAGTCATAAGTTTGAGCGTTTTTGAAAATACATGTTGATGATAGATCATTCATGAAATTATTAATACAATGTCGACATTATGGAACTGCTTCAAAAGTTGTGAAGATGATCAATAAAAATATTAAAATACAATGGTTCAATGCTTTAATTTCCTGTTTCTTAGAGTGACACCAAAAGTTAAACTATGGCAACCTTCTACATATTAAACAGCAATCAAAAATCACAAATTTAAATATCTTATCAATTATAAAGTATATAAACTTTCGTAATTGCTTTTGTGAATTCGACAATTGGCCAGTTCAATTTGAAATCACTTTGAATCAAGGTAAATTTATAAAGATGATCTGTTGTTGAAAAAAAATACTCAAATGGATGATTTTTTCAGTGGTTTATGTTAGCTGATATATATATTATTGTAAAAGGCCTAGGTTACCATAGCTACATTGTAAGATGCAAGCCTACAAAAGTTGGTGTATCATATGCAATGATCTTTTAATGTAACAACTTCCCTGGTCTCAATCAAATAACTGTCAAGCTATCTGGTTATCACATATGATATGTACATTATATTCAGTAGCCCATCCAGAATTATTCAAAATGTTACAACTTCTTACATCAGTGCACAGATGAAGCTTAATATACGTTTTCCGTTTTTACAGGAAAATAATGTTATTTCATCTTAGATTTTATGCATAAAAAATTCCCAATTGGGATAAAAATTCCCAATTTGATGGTCAAGGGACCCATTTGAAAACAGCTGGAATCATCCCTGCTTATGTTCAAAAAAGTTTCTTGCTTTACTATTTGGTATGTTACTTTCTTTCTCATTCCAGTGTTTTTCCTACAGGGTTTAGTGGTCATATATAGCTCAAGCTAGTAGCAATTTGTAATTATTATATAGGAGTTTGTAACAATACAATATTAAATAAGTTAGCCAATAGAATATGTAGACATCCAAGTGAATATATTTTTCATACTTCCTGCTTTCTAGACTTGGTCGACTCACGATAACATGGACATGGTCATATCTGCACACAGTCACTATCTGACTATACATGTTGTACACATTTGCATCTGCTTCTCTTTCTCTTTGTGTATATCACAAGTCTTGAGGAATCCAATTGAAAAAATATCTTTGTTTGGTCTTTGAAAGTTGCCAGTGGAGAAATAATTATCCTCCTGAAAGTGGCAGTTTTATTGGAAATGGTTGATTAAATAAGTTGCTAAAAAGAAAATCACCAACTTGAATTTAAAATTGAGACAAAATATGTCAGATGATACTTTCCAGCATATTGGCAATTTTTATGCCCCCACCATTAAAGGGGGCATTAAGTTTTACCCTTGTCTGTCTGTACGTCTGTCCATAAGTCCCAAAATTGGTTTCTGTTCTCTAACTTTAGTTTGCCTTAACCAAATGTTATGAAACTTATACACAATGCTTATTACAACAAAGCACAGATCAAGTTTGAATTTTGATGGCGGCCTCACTTTTACTGTTCCAGAGTTATGCCCCTTTACAAATGGAAAAAATTGCTGAATTTTTCGTTTCCGTTCTCTAACTTAAGTTTGCCTCAACCAAATGTTATGAAACTTATACACAATGCTTATTACCACAAAACTCAGATCATGTACAAATTTGGGTAGCGTCACTTTTACCATTCTTGAGTTATGTCCCTTTATAACATTATATGCAAGCGGGGACATCATCTGTGTCCCATGGACCCATTCCCTATTTATTTTTTTATGCCCCCGCCGTAGCGGTGGGGGCATTAAGTTTTACCCTTGTCCGTCTGTACGTACGTACGTCCATACGTCCCAAAATTGGTTTCAGTTCTCTAACTTGAGTTTGCCTCAACCAAATGTTATGAAACTTATACACAATGCTTATTACAACAAAACACAGATCAAGTTTGAATTTTGATTGTGTCACTTTAACCGTTCTAGAGTTATACTCTTTATAAAGGGAAAAATTGCAAAATTTTTAGTTTCTGTTCTCTAACTTAAGTTTGCCTCAACAAATGTTATGAAACTTATACACAATGCTTATTCCTACAAAACACAGATCAAGTTTGAATTTTGGTGGCATCACTTTAACTGTTCTAGAGTTATGTCCCTTTATAAATGGAAAAATTGCAAAATGTTTAGTTTCCGTTCTCTAACTTAAGTTTGCCTCAACCAAATGTTATGAAACTTATACACAATGCTTATTACCACAAAACACAGATCAAGTTTGAATTTTGGTGGTGTCACTTTAAGTGTTCTAGAGTTATGGCCCATTATAAATGGAAAAATTGCAAAATTTTTATTTTCTTCTAAATGTCAAGTAATTTTAAAATTGGAGTTATCTTCCTTTGTCCATTATTATAGTTGAATCAACTACAATCAATGCTTTATACAATGCAATGTTTAATTTTGACTTCCAGTGATAAAACACAGATCAAGTTGAATTTGGGTAGTGTCATTTTAACCATAATTGAGTTATGCCCCTTTATAATTCGAAAGATTGCAAAAATTTTAGTTTCCATTCTGTAACTTAAGTTTGCCCCAACCAAACATTATGAAACCTATACACAATATTCATTACCACAAAACTAGGATCAAGTACAACTTTTTTGTTTCCGTTTTCTAACTTTAGTTTTCCTCAACCAAATGTTATGAAACTTATACACAATGCTTATTACTACATTATACAGATTAAGTAAGAAATTTGGTGGTGACACTTTAACCATTCTTGAGTTATGTCCCTTTATAAACATAAAAATTGCTGAATTTTTTAGTTTGTCTCAACCAAATGTTATAAAACTTACACACAACCGTTCTAGAGTTATGCATGTTTACAAATAGAAAAATTGCTGAATTTTTAGTTTCTGTTCTCTACTTTAGTTAGCCTCAACCAAATGTTATGAGACTTACACACAATGCTTATTACCACAAAACTCAGATCAAGTTCAAATTGGGGTAGTGTCACTTTTATTGTTCTTCAGTTATTTTGTATATAATTTATGATAACACCATTAAAAATTTTACAGGCTCACAGACTGGTTCTTGTAGCATCATGTGCTATCTTACAGTCACATGACAATGTAGCAACAGGAACTGTACTAGAGGTCACACTACCTAGCGACATTCCACCAAAATCAGTTTACATGTTTCTTGAATTTTTGTACCAGGGTCACATGATATTATCTGAAGAGAATGTTGAGTCCATTGAGAAAATTGCCAGACTTTTACATGCTGGAGATGTTTTAAAGTGTTGCTATGATTTTGCCAAAACAATAAAGTCAGAAACTAACAGACAACAAGAAAAATTTAGTTTTCATGAATTAGTGAGTGTAAATCATATTAGATCAACAAGTTTCATTAAATCTGTTTCCACGGATACATCTCAAGATGTCACCAGAGATGATCAGCATTCAGGTCAAAGGTCATCAAAAATGGAAACTGCTTTGTCTCAACATTCTGAACATTCATCACAAATGAAAACAGCATCGTCTGTCTCTTTTTCTTCTTCGCCATCAGCTGTTCAAAAACATAGATTAAATTTAAGTGACCATCAAACTTCAAATTCTTCAAGAACAAAAACAAATTCATCAACTTTATTAGATTTTTCTGACAGCAGAGACAATTCTGCCTCACACAGCATTATTGATTTGTCTGATGAATCTCGTCTTAATTCACAGACGGTCACTTCTAACCAGTCACAAGTGTCTTCTCATCGTAGAAACAGTGATCAGACAAGATCTTATTCAAATGAACAACATGCAGGATCCAATGTAAGTTCAAAGAGACGACATAGTGATCAGAGTAGTTCAACAGACACAACTCCTCCTGCTAATAATCAAATGGTGTCTTGGGCAAGGTCACATGATCAGTATTGCCGATCGCTGTCAGATGAAAGTCTCAACCAAAACAACCTACCAAACGTTTCATTGGGAAGTTACCCAGCTCCATTTGGCTTTGCAATGCCAGTTATTCCCTCAACATTATGGAGTGATAAAGCTATGTTGCAGCATTTTACATCACAACAAAATATCAGAAGTTCGTCCAGTAATAGCATTAGTTCATCAACTAGTTCTAAAGCTAGTGCCAATCATCAAGGGACCAGAGTTAGTGATTTTCCAGATCTTCCAATATGTATAGAGCAAGATGATTCAGATGACAATAGGTATGCACAAAACATAAGAAGTCTGTTCTCAATATAATGGATTATTACATTGGTAGCATTGAATTACATTGATTTCCCAGTCAAATAAAAACCGATAATTTCACATGTGAAATAAACGTGGTTATTTCACTCTCTGACGTCATACAACAATAGGCGTTGTCAAGACGTCGATAACGTCGGACCAAAACAAATTGTGAATGCGTAGAAAAAAGATATAGTTCCTTACATTTTCTACATTAATTTCATTAAAAAAAGCCATTTGCCAAAGTAATAAAAAGAATAACTAATCAAAGAATTCAAATAGAGAAAAATATTCAACTCGTGACCAAACAACACTGATAATTAACTCATGCGCTACGTGCATTCGTGAATTAATGTGTTGTTCGGTCACTCGTTGAATATTTTTCTCTATTTGAAGTCTTCGGTTAGTTATTCTATAAATAAATCAGGGATATGGTATATTACCACATGTGAGATTTATCTTATTAAAACACAAGGCTTTCCAAACATTTTTTATATTAAAAATTAAACTTAAAAAATTATATAGTCTGCATAATGCAATATAGAAAATCTTTTTTTATCTGATATTTGTCCAGATATTGTTTTGATTTTCTAGAAACCTCAAAGATTTCTTTTTCCTCATGTTTTTGACAACATATGACATAATTTTATGCAGTTATAATGGCATAATAAGATAACAGACAACAATTTGATGTCTGAATTGAATTACAGTCATTGAATCAAAACATGTGATGTGTTTTGGTTATAAAAGTACAGAATTGTAAAAAAACCCAGATTTTATTACTTCATATTGTTTGATACAACATTTCTCTGCTGATCATTTTGAATGTTGAAAACTGAACTAGTAATAATTAAAATGAAGTTCTACATCTGTTTTTGAATAACAGTACAGTTTTCCATACCCAAATATGGTTTTGATATTCTGCATATTATGAAGGTGTTTTACTCACCCTTAAGCCTGTAAACTAAACTGATATTATGAAGGTGGTTTACTCACTCTTTAGGCTGTAAACTAAACTGATAGATTTCTTTAATACTTTTCCAACATGTAGTTTGTTTTATGGTGCTTACATCTATAATAAAAACTCTGTGTTATTGATATAAAAATTTGGAGATGTGGAACTATCCACCAGTAGAGACCAAAGGATGAGGATGTAAACACCCATAGGTCACTGTATAGCCTTCAACAATGAGCAAACCTATGTTCTAAAGTAAGCTTTATAATCTAGAAAGAAGTGACTTCTTGCAAGAAAATATGTTAGAATTCATGATTTATGTTGAAAAGTCAGAAATGAAATGTTATCAAGTAAATAAAATTGCATGTGACTAAAGCTAATCAAAGACTAAAGGCTAAAAATGTGGATGGGTGTTATGCAGGTGATTTTATTACAAAAGGTTTGCAAAAAATACATATATGAGTATATTTTACAATTGCATCAAATTTATATTTACAGGTTGGTTCTGGATGTAAGTGAAATAGATTTGTCTATGATTAAGACAGAAAGTATAGAGGAACCATTGGATCTTCATGTGAAGGGGACCTTTCAGTCAGAGGAAATTAACAGTATGTTTAAGATGATCAAGAAATGTTTAAAGTTTTATGATATGCTGGCAATCAGAAACCAAAAATTGATAAATGGCAGACAACTCCATGAATGAAAAAAAAATATTAAACATACATGTACCTGCCAATTTTTCAAAATCTCCATCAGGTATTTGTAGCAAAAGAGGACCCAGTACATATTAATATGTACCAAGGACAATACTAACCTATAATCATTTGAATATTTCAAAAAGATTTGTGAAGCAGAAACACCTTACTCTACCTGAGCACCCAAGATCATTCCTGTTTTAGCTGGGCTTTCTGTGTAACATTATGTGATACATTGTTTTTGATTTACAGACTCGAACCATCCTTCCCGATTTATATTAGGAATTTCCCCATCAGAATCATTAATTTTTTATGACTTACATTTGCTTTGATTAAGAAAATCTGATAAATTACAAAACACGTTTTTTACTTACCCTGTAAGGCAACATTGATGAAAGTTTTTTCATATGATGATTGTTTCTACCAAGAAAACAAAGGAAATCTTGATTCTCATCCCACCTTATTTCATCTAAGATTACCAGATCTAAATATAGATATAATTTTAGAGTAAAACAAGTTAAACTTTCTCATCTCTTTAAATCCAGCTAATGGGAGACCACTCTGTAATCTTTGAATTTATTTAGAATCATATATTTACATTGCTAATTATGTTAACAATTTCAGTAAGTGAGTATATATAATATTTAAAGAAAATTTATTATGTATACCCCAATCTGTATCTGAACAGAGTAACGGTTTATTTAAAAATCAAAGTTATGAATTCAGAATTCACAAACTGTTTAGTTCAAAGTAAAACATTAGTTTTAAGATAAGCAGTGAACAACAATCATATATCTTGGAGAAAGCATGCATCTATGGAATTATAACATTCTCTCATCAGAAGTAGGCTATTTCACTCTTGTACATGTCATGCTTCAGTGACTTCAAAAATTATGTTTTATTTCAGAGTTCAGTTTTCTGATAAATGTTTCATTGAAATTCACATCAAAGTTTCCAATACATTTTTACCTGCATGTTATTTGGGTAGATCAAATGATTAATGTCAATATAAACCCGCATTAGATACAGTTATTATTAGTTTTGAATTAAATTTAATCTTACATTGAGTACAATTTTACTTATTATTAGATTTTAGGCTTGAAAGACAATTTGGAAAAGGCCAGGTTTCTTTTGCAGTCATTTACTAAATCTATAATTCATCTTTATTCACACACAGTTAGACATAACATGATTAATAATGAGTATTGGTTGTAGACATAAGGTTTTTTTGGCAAATAGATATCTAGCAGTTTGATTTTAAAAGGATCATTAAAATATGCTTAGTGGAAAATTTGCTTCATGCATAGTTGTTTCTTCTTTAAGTAGGCAATTCTTCACATGTTAATTCTTATTTTAATTTATAATTATCAGGGAGGCCTATTGTATCCGAGTCTAATATGGCAAACACAGATGTCAGCAGCAAACCAGTTCAGGAGAAATCTTCAGAGAACCAAGCAAGACAATACCCTGGTACCATCCCATACAGTTCTGCCTATCAACCGACTGTAAATAATGATTATTCAAAACAGTGGTCGGCACAGCTACAGTCAGCCGTAGTGAAAAAGAGGCCAATGAGCATGTCATCAAATGTACGAAAAATCATTCAGGACCTCAATTTAAATAGGCGAGCGCTGGCAAGTCCTGCTTCACTTAATTCTCTAGCTGTTGGAAATCACAAACCAATTAGAATGCCTGGAAAGAATAACTATAAAGTCTGTTCTTTATGTTATAGAAACAAAATCAGAACAAAGTCTGGGTATTATGTATACAGTTATTACAAATGTTCTGTTTGTGATGTCCCATTGTGTATTGGTAGACGAAAATGTTTCTTAGAATATCATAAGGAGGCAGAAGTAAATAAAGAAAAAGACTAAAATCAGAACAGATCTTTATAAAAATGTATGAATTCTTTTACTAAAATATGAGATCTTGTTACTTTTTCATTGGTTCATTTGTAAAAAAAACATCTCATATCATCAAATCAAAATAATTTTTGACATCCAGGCAGCTTTTTAAATTTTTTTTCTCAAATATTTGGTACAGATGTTATTGTCTCATTACTACTTTCTGGTGCAGTACTTTCTTTTCTGTAGAGAATTTCTAAGTAGTACTAACGTAATATAGTCATTGGAATGGTTTGTTCTGCATTATTTTGTATTTAGGCAGTAAGGTTGTGAAGATTCAGTATAAATTTATTGTTCATAAGTATTCAGTATCAAAGTCATATTAATCATGTTCTTTTAATTACATATTAGTAGGGATGTCAACGAGTACTCGAGTATTTGAGTACTGATCGGTAGTACCAAGTATCGAATACCAAAATGATACTCAACTATTCGGGTTCCTGTTAGAATATTGCCATCTTCTTTATATAAAATTGATCTTCTTGAGTACTTCTTTTGGAAAATTAAATAGGCATCACTGATTAATCATACTTAGTATAGTAAATAAAATACATTTTGTTTCCAATGCATGTGTTAAATTAGTATTTAAAATGCCTCCGAAAATACGTGGGCTATACCTAGGCTAACACATTAAACTAAACATTGTCTTAGCCATTCCGTCACATAGGTACCATCAGAGCAAATAGTTTTGTCTGCAAGACTGTTAGTTACAAAGTTGTAAAATCGACTGTCCCTAATAATAGTTATGTTTCCAAATAAAATAAATTTCCTTGCATCCTCTGGTGACCCTCAGTGAATAGTTAAACTTCTTATCCTTACGCCTTTGTAAACATTAAATGTGTTTTCTTAACGATTACAAAATACTATTGTTTGATATGGATTTTCCTTGTTATAATTTTTAAATGGGTGTTCAATATTGATTAGATTATTATTTTTTACTTAATTAGTACTTTAAGGTAATGAGCTATTAATTATGGTGTGCAATTCCTTGTCCCAGATACTTATGTAGATGGTTTTTTCGTCTGTTGAACAACAAACCACAGAAAGTAAAATACATATTTTTGTGTTTCCGTGTTGTAGATATATTACCGAGCGAATACTTGAGTATCGCTCAATAAAACCAACGAGTACTTGATTATTAATTGTTCAACGAGTTGACATCCCTACATATTAGACAATTTTTGTCTTATTTGTTTTCAGTTCATTATTGGTTGAAATAAGACTTAGGCATCAAATTTTGTTAGTCACAAGTGTTTATAGTTTTGATTTTACTTAATGCGCAGGACTACATGATAAAAAATCTCTATTTAGTGTAACGTTCACAAATATATACGTCTTAGGTATGTTTAGTCATAATCCAAAAGAAAAATAAAGTAGTTTTTAGGGGGGAGGGTGAGGGGGTTGTGTTCTTTCATTAAACATGCTATAAGTTCTATGTATAAATGCTTTTTGGTTGTTATTACTGTAAACTTGGAAATTATTGCAATGTTTTAAACTGATGTGAAACAGGATGAACAGTTTGTAAAATGTACTTTTATTTTTTTTAAACAATTTTCTACTACAACAGTTAATATTAAATTATCATCTTTGTTTTAAACAGCTGAATTATAATTCCAGTTACAAATATATGATACCCATAGAGTTGAAATAATCTACATTTTGCAATGGGCGGTTTTTTTACCAATGTCACATCATGTTTCTTTGTAGAAATAAGGATTATGAATCTCATTCATTATTTTAATTCCCAGAACATGAAAGTTTTTTTTTCTCAATTGACTTTTTAATGTACACAAAAGTGCTATGATATCCGATGATACATTTTTTCATAACATTGTAAAACATGAGGTACAGAAATGTTTCACACAATCAGCCATCACATCTTCACATTTTTCTTCAGCTTAATCATCAATTCAGTATTACCGGTAGGAAAAATTATTTATGACAAATGTTCTGAAAATTCTGTAGCAGATTATTTTAGGCATGGAATGTCAAAAAGAACCTTCAACTCTATACTCTATTCTAAAAAAAATTTATGATTAGAATTGATCATAATTTATACTCACAAGATTTTTTAAGGGTAAAATTTTAATTATTTTTATGAAAATTTGACATTTGTATATCTTTGTACAGATATACATGTATATATTGTGTACTTAAGTATATAAGGCAGCATTATATATTGTTAATATTGTTGTAGGTACTTTTTGAGTCTGTATTTAATTTTTTGACAAGATCATACAACTATTTCTTCAACAGTGTTATTTTTTTCTTTTTGACTGAGACTTTATACAAATAATAAGACAAGTTTAAACAAATTATTTGTTAGTATTTATATACACATTTTTAGTTTGAACTCATATCAGTGATAGAAAAATGGATAAGAGTTAAATGCATAATTTCAGTTTTAGTTACAATATACATGCAACATTTTTCACTGAAAAATCACTTATGATGGTGATATTTCACTGCAAATGCTGGTGATTGCTAGTTAGTTTACTGTGATGTATCTGGGGCTTTTCACAAAAGATCTTAAAACACAAATTGATCCTAAGTTATACTGAAATTTTCATGACTTACAAATACATGTATTTTTTTTCATGTAAGATTTTTTTTGTGAAATGAGTTGCTTCTCTGTATATTCAATGCATATTATATGTTTACCAGAATTTTATGCCCCACCTAGGGGCATTATGTTTTTCGCTCTGTGCGTCTGTTCGTACGTCTGTTCTTCCGTCCGTCCGTCTGTCCCGCTTCAGGTTAAAGTTTTTGGTCAAGTTTTGATCCCATTTCACAGTCCACTGAACATAGAAAATGATAGTGCGATTGGGGCATCCGTGTACTATGGACACATTCTTGTTTTCACTCTCAATCTAATTGCTTCACTGTCAGTCAGCGAGCTGAAGTTTATAATATGCTATCAGAGGATAATATGATTGATTTTCTCAATTACTGTAAATTCAGAAATTACTGCGATATTTTTATAAATGCGAATAATGCGACTCTCTGAGTATGCAAAAATAAGAACTCACAATCTGATAACTGAAACATAGATCTGTATTTCAGATTTTTTCAAAATAGCAATAATTAAACTCGCATTTTTGTCCATTCTTTAAAATTAATAAAAATCACAATAATAAATGCATGCAATAATTTCTGAAATAATACAGTATTTAATTTTCAACACAAAACAGCACTTTCTGCCATCTGTTGTTTTAACTTGTGATAATTTTGATATTGATACATACCTAAAAAAAACCTAAACATAATTGAAACAAACAGTATTCCATTATTTGTACCTATTTATTTTATTTTTTGTTGTTTAATAAGATGTGTAAATAAGTGTGAAATGGAGTATTACAGAGGTTATGTGCAAATAAAAATTATCAGATTAGGTAAATGCCTTATCTGAATTTACATATCTACAGTTAACTTTGTTGCAATGATGGCATACAAGAGTGAGAAATTACCAGACATTTATCAAGGATTTTAGGAAAGAGAGGATGCAGTCCTTAGAAATTTGAATAGCTCTGCTTGTGAGAACATTTTTGATCTGTTTTGTTTTATGCCAAAGAAAATCATATTTTTTCATTTCTTTTTTTTGGGGGGGGGGGGGGGGGGGGAGGGGGCACATGCTGGTTACACGAGTGTCCCCGTCTAAATTGCCACTGATTTCCTTAATAATGTCATATTTACTAACCTGTTTGATGATTTACAATTAATTTGTTGACAATAAACAATAAAATTTTGTTTTTTAAATATACCTGTTTGCTCTATTTTTGAGTATTTTGTTTGATTTGAACAAAAAATTTGATTGTCTAAAATGTCATTTTACTTTGATAAAGATTATTTTCTATGAGTCATTTTGCATTTATTTGGTTTTTATGAGATGATTTTGTATTTTTTTTTAAATTATGTATTTAAAAGCACTACAAAACTATTAAAACAAGACAATAGTTCCTATGGTGTAATGATAAATATTTTTATTGTACCTTTATATATTAACAGAATTTTTTTGGATTTTAACATCCCAAAGATAATTATTTAGATAATTTATATTAATAACAGAATACTGGTACTGTAAATTTAGACATTCATGCAATGTATTGAATTTTAATTCCAATGTACAATGAAATGTTGCAATTGTTAAAACTCTAACTTTAATTTAGATATTCTTCTACATAATGTTCAAACAAATTCATTAATTAATCATGAACTTCATTTTTCCAAGCGTCACAATGATAAATGCCAAATTAAGTTGCCATATCACAGAAGGTATTTTTAAACTAGCAAAATAATTCTGGTCGACTATGCCAGATTACTTTACCTGCGTTAACTGATGAATTATTCCGAATTTAGATTTGTACTTATTATTTTTTTGTATCATATCTTTTTAATTTACATGTAAAACATGTTTGTTGGTTGTTGTAGTTAATAAAAATACAGAAATAAAAAATCTACCTTATTCTTTTTATGTCACTTGGCCAAAGTGAGAGAGTGAACTAGTGGCATCACTTTGTGTTCATGTTCTGCTTGCACAAATATACAAAAACTTATCCCTGGAAATCACTTTCCTTAGTGAAAAAAGTTTGACCATCCTTTGGTCAATGTATGATTGAAAGAAGATGTTGGTCCTAATATGCCAATGAGACAGCAACCTGTCAGCACAAAAAAAAACAAGATGTCTAGAGGTCAACATACAGTCTTCAACAATAGACAGGTGTCTATACAATATGGTAATGAAACAGTAACCCTACAGCACAAAAAACAAGACATCTAGAGGTCAACATACAGCCCTCAACAATAGACAGGTGTCTATACAGTATGTCAATGAGACAGTAACCTTACAGCACTAAAACAAGACATCTAGAGGTCAACATACAGCCTTCAACAATAGACAGGTGTCTATACAATATGTCAATGAAACAGTAACCTTACAGCACAAAAAACAAGACATCTAGAGGTCAACAAACAGCCCCTCAACAACAGACAGGTGTCTATACAATATGTCAATGAAACAGTAACCCTACAGCACAAAAAAACAAGACATCTAGAGGTCAACATACAGCCCTCAACAATAGACAGGTGTCTATACAATATGTCAATGAAACAGTAACCTTACAGCACTAAAAACAAGACATCTAGAGGTCAACATACAGCCTTCAACAATAGACAGGTGTCTATACAATATGTCAATGAAACCGTAACCTTACAGCACAAAAAACAAGACATCTAGAGGTAAAAAAACAGCCCCTCAACAATAGACAGGTGTCTATGCAATATGTCAATGAAACAGTAACATTACAGCACAAAAAACAAGACATCTAGAGGTCAACATACAGCCCTCAACAATAGACAGGTGTCTATACAATATGTCAATGAAACAGTAACCTTACAGCACAAAAAAACAAGACATCTAGAGGTCAACATACAGCCCTCAAATGGTCTCTAAGATTAAACAAAAAATTTGATAGGAAAAAAGTGCATAATATGTCTTTCTACACCACAAAAAGCTCTAAACTTCATTGGTTCCAATACAGAATAGTACATAGAATCATAGGCACAAATGAATTTTTATTCAAAATTAAGATAAAACAAACAGATAAATGTACTTTCTGTAATGAAGCTATTGAAGATATTGAGCACATATTTTGGACATGCTATAAAATTTCAGATTTATGGATTGAACTTGGTGATTGGATTTATAACCAAACACAAATATTAATTCCATTTAATATAGATATTATTTTATTTGGAAATTTAAGTACCGGTAACAAAGGAAATAATATGATAAAAAACTTAATAATACTCCTTACAAAATTCTATATTTATAGAACAAAACTCTGTGAAAATAAGGTAAATTTTACAGGACTTAAAAATTACCTTAAAGAATCTCTGGCACTAGAAAAGAATATATTTTTTAAAAGAAACCCTTTTCATATGGCCAATATCTGCTGGGACCCCTGGCTTCCAATATTAGAAGAATAATGTTTTATTATACAAAAAATAGGTACATTGTGTACCGGAACTACTTTCACTTACATTTCTTTACCTTATCCACATCACCATCCATGTTATGATTTAATACTATTATATAAAATAAAATCGAGAATGGAAATGGGGAATGTGTCAAAGAGACAACAACCCGACCATAGAACAGACAACAGCAGAAGGTCACCAACAGGTCTTCAATGCAGCGAGAAATTATTATATGTTGGTTTATATGTATGCTTGATGTTTTGTCTATGTTTATAAATACATTTATGTTCCTCTTAGTTATTGCCCTTACGAAAATAACTGAAAAAAATCCTTTTTTTTGTATTTATAAAATTGTATTATGAATGCTGTAAGTAAGATATATCTTTTTTGTTTTTTGTTTTTTTTTTTTTTTTTTTTGCTTTTTCCAAAATTCCAAATTTCTGTGATTTTTATTTATTTACTCTTTTATTATTCTATTCTATTCAAATATATGGATCATTCTATTTTGATAATGTATTAGTTGGATATATTATAATTTATAAATGTATAAATTACAGATAAAATAAACTAACAAGTACTAACCAAATTGATTATATACCACTAACGGTTAACGAGGCCGGGATAAGGTACCGGTATTTGATGTATCCACTAACAAATGACAAAACTATCAATAAAGTATGATTTACTAAAAAAAAAATAAAAAAAAAAATAAAAACATACAGCCCTCAACAATAGACATGTGTCTATACAATATGTCAATGAAACAGTAACCTAACAGCACAAAAAACAAGACATCTAGAGGTCAACATACAGCCCTCAACAATAGACAGTTGTCTATACAATATGTCAAGCTCTAGATTCTAGAAATGTTGTCAATCAGGGGACAACCATTTGATTTTCTGAGGGGGAGGAGGAGGTCAAGATTATTTAAAAAATGAATATCCTAGCTTAAAGAGCTGAAAATAAATAACCATGCATAGGACAGGATGAAAATGCAAGATGCAATAATGTTTTGCTTCACTAGGAAAGATAATAAGCATGCCTTACAACATATAAAAATGAATGGTCAATCAACAAATATTCTCCTCTCCCCCCTCCCCCTTTTGCCAGAATATCAAATGGTTGTCCCCTAACATTAACAAGCTATCAAAGATCTGCCGTTAACACCATGACTGATGTTCCTGCAGATAAACCAACAGTCACTATAGTTAAAAATACAACAAGGGTTAATGGGGGAAAGTGGTATCTTTTTCTCCCTCATGCAAACAATTTCGCAAAATATAAGACATGGTTGTTAATCAGCAGCAGGATAAACCATTTTCATCAAGGTTTATACTTTAGAACGTAGAAATCCTTGATACTTCATAACTTATATACAGATGCCTTATGTTCTGAAGTTTCCATTTGGCATATGTATGCTGTCCTTGACCTCATTTTCATTGATCAGAATCAAAAAAAGAAGTTGTGGTATGATTACCAATGAGACAACTATTCCCCAGCGACGAAATGTTGTAGATGTAAGCAATTATAGGTCACCGTAGGGCCTTCAGCAATGAGAATAAATCACACTGTATAGTAAGCTAAAAAAAAAGGCTCTGAAATTACAAAATGTAAAACAATTTAATCGGAAAAAAACCTATGGCATGAATTATTTACAACAAATGGAAGTTTTTAACGACATTGACTGGCTATACAGCCCTTGCACGGTCGGCGTTTATTTACAAAACAATAAACGAAACATAAATATGATAGACAGTGACCAACAGCAACCAATAATAACATTAGATGTATGTTTCATTATAAAACTTTATTCTGATTGGCTACACTGCAATCTCGCGTTATTCCTTAATCAACTTCGTTACACAATAAAATTTATCAGTCATGATAACATGAGATCCTACAATAAAGTGCACAGGTAAATTAAATAAAAACTTGATAAAAATCGTGTTTTCATGATCCTAGCTAAAAAACGTAACATTTTAGAAAATGTACTTCGGTCAACGCTCTCACACCCCAATGAAGTTACAAAAAGAAGCATTCAGTTCTTAACTGAATTACAGGCTCCAGACTTAAACTTTCACATACAAAATGTGACAGGGTTAAACATGTCGGTGAAAACCTAATCTGTGATGGTGATGCATTAGCACAACATAAGAACAAACTATAAAAATCCGTTGAACATGGCTCGACTTGTCAGATCGACACAAAGCACAAAAGAAAGACTAAAGACACAAAGCACTGATCTAAGACTACCTATGGTTCATTGGTCAGCATACGTTTTGTGGTAAGGAATGTATCTCAGATATACTGTAAACAATAGGTCGACTAGATTTATACTCTGTTTAATTTAAAGGATATGAGTTTTCTACTTTGATTTCATAGCAATCTGTAGCCGATTATTTGTGAGTAATCGTGAAATGAGTATTTTTTAGATCATTTAGTTGACATACCTTTGACTGTGGTTTAGGCTAAAGTCCAGGAACTGCTGCATATTCGTTCTGAATGGGATTCCAAATGCGATTTCTTGTGTTATCTTTTTAGCTCAAACGGGTTGCAGATGACATAATGTGTGTGCAAAATATTTGTATTTCAAAAAATCTTTATGTAACAATGCTCGAAGACCACCTGGGTAATGCTT